GGCGTGCTGCTGTTGCTGCACAATGACCCCGAACCCGAGACCGCGCGCATCGCGACCGATTTGAGGCCGATTACGCCCGTCATACCACTTGTGCGCTGCTCGTCCCAGTTGTGTCCCCGACGTGACGTGAAAGACAGGGCTCTCACCGCAGCGCGGCGGCGGCGGTCGCGAGGGCTGGGTGCGCGCGTTAAGCGGACAATCAACGAAAATAACGATTTGTCATCCGCAGAGCAGTTGGATAGTTCGAAGGGGCGAAAATGAGGCACATTACCACACACGACAACGACAAACAGGAAACAGTCACAAGAAAACACGACAACTCTCAAACAACAAGAAACACGTCCCACCTACCTGTTGGTCTGGTCGTAGCGCGAGTGCATGTCGTTGGTGTGGATGACGACCAGCTCGAGGCCCTGCGGCGCGTCCCCCGGCGCGCGGGTGGCGGGGCCGGGGCCGGCGGCGATCAGCTGTGCGAGCAGCAACAGCGGCAGTAGAGCGGAGGCCGCGGCTGCTGGCGGCGACATCATAGCGTTTCGGTTACGACGCGGCCCAACTCACTGCTCGCGACGACCTTGATCGGATCCCGGATCGAACCCGGCTGCGGCCTGTTGTGCCGAGAGCCTATCTCCCCCGGCCCTCGCCCACGACCTGCCCTGCGGCGTTCTGCGGCGTCCTGCTGAGTCCTGCTTGCGGCGTCCTGCGGAGCCCCTGCTGCGGCGTACTATAAGGGGCCCTGCGGCGTCGTGGGGCATATAGGCGCCACCTGGCCCGCCCACTAAAACAGAATGTCTTCTTCGATCTCGTGCCAGCCGCCTCTCTTCCTCCTCCTCTTCCTCCTCCTCCTCCTCGTCAACAGGCGTGCGTGCGCGTGTCGCGGTGGTACGCCACGCTGCTACTGCTACCGCGCTGTGCTCGGCGTGGCGGTCCGCGGCGGACTGGAGACGTCCCCATGTGTGGCCGGCGGGCCCCGCCCGGGCCGGCGGCAGCCACCACGTCTGACGGAGTCGTCTCGTTCTCGTCTCGCCGGCCGGCCTGGCTGCAGAGGGAGGAGGGACCGAAGCACCGCGGATGCTGCGGACGCACGCGGGGCGATGAGATAAGACCCAGGAGACTCACGGAGGTGGTGATCCCCCGCGAAGGACGCGAGGACGGCGGCGGCGGCGCGGGCTCAGTCGGGGGGAACCGCGCGCTCGGCAGGTAGGTATAGGCGCCTGCTGGGCTCTGAAACAGGACAACGACAAGAAGAACCTCCAAAGCATGACAATATATTGGTCACTTACGATGAGAGTACTAGTGACGCAATAAGAATTGACTGGCGGGTGTTGGGATTCTCAGCTGACAGGAAACCGCAACCTGAAGGAGGAAAAGCATGCTTGTTGGCTGACCAAAAGTCACGGATGGCAATCTTGTCTAATCGGCATCAAAAGGAAACAGGACCTGCTTTTTTTTGTATTCCAGTAGTTTCGGTTTCTTTTCAGAAGCACCAGACCCCAAGGAATGCGAGAGGTAGTAATAATTAAAGAGCGTCGTTTGCCGCACTCGCGCCTGGTCACGGGAGCACGGTATACAACAGTACAGCACAGTCAGGGCGTCGTAAGTTTGTCTGTACGCTCCGTAGTGAGAGATAGCGTGGCTCAGTCCAGCTTAAGGAGATAGTGAACCGTATCGCCTGGAGTCCGGAGATAAAGGGGCGAATGGTAATCCATTGCAGTGGCTGCGCGCGGCGCACCACGACTGCGAAGCCGCCAAAAGCCAGTCTAGTTAAAACCGCATCCATGACATTAATTTGTTTTCATTTTCGCCATGGCAAGCAATCGCCACGACAAACCTCCGCGGGTCGCCAGCAAGCCAGCAGCAGTCTGAGAAACGTCGCCCGCCTCCTGCGGGGTTCCTGGAGCGCCTCCAGCTCGCCTGCTCCCAGCTCGGCACGGGGAGCTCTCGGGTACCCTTCACCCTTGCCGCGCTGCTAAAACGCCCCCCTCCCCTAAAACAGTCGAGGAAAATTATTTTGTTTTCGCAGAGCGGGTCTCCATGGGGTCGCTTTGCTCGCTGTCGTTTGACCCCCCCCACCCTCCTGCTCCCCCGGGGCGCGGTAGTGCTGCATCTTTAGAGATTAAAAGTGTTCCGTCTGTGAAGAGTGTTTAGGCGGTGCCCGGACAGCTCGTGGCAGATCCTCTAGTGCTGCTGCCGCTGTGCCCCCCCTCCCCCCCTCCACCAGGCCGCGAGCCCGTCACATCTGAGATCTGAGCCGCCGACCCGCAACTCGAGCAGCAGCCCTCCAACCCTTCGCCCGCCGGCCAGCCGGCCCGGCAAACTTGGACTATTATTTAACAAGCAAAGACTTCAAACTATTCAGGCGGGTCAGCTTGGCGCACGCGGTAGCACCAGGGGGTCACGCCCGGAGAGGATTCTGCTCACGGCATTCTTCACTTCAGCCCGACTCCACTGCCGCTGCCTCTGCGACCCCGTCTGTATGGGCAGTGCCCCCTGCGGGCGCGACGCGGGGTGTAGAGAAACGCGCAAAGGTTTTCCCTTGCTTGCGCTTTTGCATTTCTGACCCTTTTTGCGCGCAGGAGAGGTCTAATGTGCGGATGGATCGCTGGGCGCGAGGTCGCACAGCACGCGAGGAAGTTAGCGGAAAGTGAGACAAGGTCACGGCTATGTTGTAACCCATTTTCGAGGCCCGCCGCGACGGCTAAGCTCGGCGTACTACCTGCGCCGCCCGCGGCCGTCAGGCAGTCGTCAAGGTGCGTCCGTCGCGTCGGGTGCCCTGCTGCGCCCCTCGCACCGCGCGTCAAAGTCAAGGGAGTGGCTAAGAATACGACGCACGACGCGGCGCGTCGCGTCCGCGGACGAGACCACCACGGGACCCGCGCGGCCCTGCAGGGCTCGCCTGGCGGCCGCCACCACCGGGACCCCGACGACTGTCCCTGTGCACAGGCGTAGCCAATTTGAAAGAAGGGGATGCAGCAGTCGAGGGACAGCTCAGCCCACCCTTTGGGCCTCGCGGAGCGCTAAAGCAGCGTGTGTCGTGATGATGCGGCATATGTGTAGTTCCGGCTAAGTTACCACTTTGACTCACACTGAGTGGCCCACCCGCCGAGGCTGCGCGTTGGCGGGCGTAGGGATGAATGCTATAGTCCATAGCGAGCAAGTTGTCTAGAAGCGTGGCGTCGCCTACCATACGTTGTTCATGTTTTGCGTCTGCGTCCCAAGAAAACAGTTTCGTTTGATTCAAGAAATTAATATATCTTTCGAAAATTTTGCTCTTTTGTAAGGATATTTGTATTGAGGGAACATTCAATTGAGTGAGTGTGTATCAAAAAAATGGCTGCGAGTATAAAGCAATATCGAATGAAAATTTTCGTTGGATAGTGTAGAATTGATTTACTTAATGGAAATCAGAAAATTCCTTGAATCGAAGAAACTCTTTTGTGAGTGCGCTGCACGCACGCACGTCCGTTCCCATCCGCCGACGTCATCACCGGCGTCATTAAGGCCGCCGCTGCGGCCGTGCTGCCGGGAGGGCTGCTGGCGCTGTGTATCGTCATATTTTCGCACCACTCTTCGCTGCCCCGGATCACATTAGCATCCAATAACGGGCGCGGGGGATCCGCGCTCGGTGCGCGGGAGCTAACCAGCCATCAGGAGGCAATCAACTCCTTGCCGCTGCCGCCCCGGCCCGCCCCGCCCCGCCTCACCTCACCTCACCTCGTCCTCAACAGCCCACCGAAGCGAGCGAGCGCATATATCGCCTCAGAAGACAGCGGCAGATAATGTTCTGCCGGCTCCAAATAAGTTAAAGGTATCCGCAGCCGCGTGGACTCGCCCAAAATTAATCAAATCCCCTCCCCCACCCCTCCAAAACAAAAGAATAATTTTTTTTTTTTTTTTTTTTATAAATTCAGTGACAATAACTTATAGATACTCGTCGCGTGGTACCGTTTCAACAACAACAACTCCGGGAGTACGTACTACTGTACTACTGTACCTCCCCGGCAGGCCACAAGTCCCTCTTCCCGCTGTCTGTCTCTCGCTTCATTATGCATGGCACTTGCCCACCCCGTGGGACGTAACCGTACGCCGCCGCCGCGCTGCTGACTCTGAGCAGCGCTCAGCAGCAGCGCTGAGCGAGCGGCGCTGAGCGGTTCGCACGAGGAGAGCGACTCCTCTCTGCGGTACGGCGAGGTGGCGGCGCGGCGGCGGGGGGAGCTTCCTCGCGGTGCATAGGAGGCAGGAGGAGGAGGTCGTCGCCAATGCGGCCGCCGCGGTCCGTCCAACGCGGGCAAACGGCGGCAGTGCTCTGCATCGGCAGCGTTGTGGGAACGCGAAGGGGAGGGAGAGGGGGGAGGGGGGGGGCAGCAGGAGGAAGCACGTCATGGAGCCGGCCCTGCAACCCCCCACCTCCTCCCTCTCCCCTTCCCACACTCCAGCATCCCCCTCGCTGCTCTCGTCTCGCTGACGCGGCGAGAGAGCAAACGTGGACGTAAACCGGGAGGGGCGCTAAGTACGCGAGCAAACTTCTTCACTCGCCCCTCCACTCCTT